TGAAATCCAGCCGCTGCGCCAGGCCCATCTCAGACTTGTACAACCAACCACCTTCAAGAGAGATTGCCCCAAATCCCGGACAAGAGGCACAGTCTCCCTTATCCCAGCAGCCCAGATACTTTATATCCTTGCTGTGATGCTTGTGACAAATGCCCTTGTAGACTGTGCACCACCTTCCTGGATCCTGCCTCCTTTGAGATTGAAACCCCCATGGTAGGCAGCCTCAGAGATGGCCCCGTTGACCCCTTCCCTCCTGCTACCCACGCGCTTCTACCATTCTCTCTACCCTCGTGGGAGGGAGGACTGGACCTGGGGCCTGGCTTCCATCCAACAGAAGATGCCACCGTGCTGGGATGTCACTTGAGATCAGGTTACAAAAGGACTACAGCCTCTGTCTTGGCCATGCTCGCTTGCTGTCTCCCTTTCTCGGAGCTTCTGCTCTGGGGGAAGGAGGCTGTCGTGTCTCGGGTAGCCCTAAGGGGAGGCCACGTGGCAGAAAACAGACGTGTCCAGCCGGTGAGGACCGGGGCCTGCCAGCCCCCGCGTGGGTGAGCTTGGGAGTGGACCCTCCTCCAGCCAAGCCCTGGTGCGGGACGGCAGCCCCCGCCTACGCCGGACCCCGGCCGTACGAGAGACCCTGAGTCAGAAGCACCCAGCCCGGCCACGCTGGGATTCCTGCTCCACAGAAACTATGAGACGGTAACTGCCCGTTGTTTTAGAATGACAAGCTTAGAGCAGTTTGTCGCATGGCTATAAATAACGAATGCAGTCCCTTAAGAGCTAAAATAGCCTTCTCATCTGTATATCCCTTGTAGCATCTAGTCCAGAACCTTCTGTGTGAAAGAATTTAACAAATGTTTATTGAATCGAGAGAATGGCAGTCTCAACCCCTTCGAGAAGTTTACAGTCTAATGTTGGGCAGGGAGGAATCAGACATTTAACAAATCACCATGCAAACACCCGCAGACTAACGACTGTGGTAAGTTCCAGAAGGGAGGCATGCACGGCGCTTAGGGAGGCCTGTGACAGACAGCCATGCCGAGAAAGAAAGGGGAGGGGAAACTTCCCGCGGGAAGTAAAGGCCAAGCTGAGACCTGAAGGAAGAGCAGGAGTCAGCAAAGCAAGGAGGACGGGAAGCCTGCTGCGGTCAGAGGAGGCGGGGCACGTGCAAAGGCCCTGTGGCAGGTGTGAGCGCCAGAGTAAGCTGGGGAGCAAGAGTGCAAGAGGAGGTATGTGTGACATGGGAACGCAATGAGGTGAGACCTCACTGGCCTTGCGGGCCACACTGAGGGCTCCAGCTGTTAACCGCAGTGATCGAGAGCCACCGACAGGTTTGAGCTCTGCGTGTGTGTGTGTGGTGTGTGTGCACTCACACGCATGTGCGTGCAGAGTCCATCGGACCTGCATTTCCGGCAGATCACTCGGCCTGCTCAGATGACACGCAGAAAGCATGACGAGTGGGCAGGCTCCTCAGCAGGCCATGACAACAGTCCAGGCCGAACAGCCTAGTCGTCTGGACTCTAACCGTTAGGATGGAAATGGACGGAAGTCAATGCATCGGAGAGCTGTTCAAGGACGGAAGTCAGCAGGTGCTGGGGCAGGTGGCATGGGATCGTGACAGAAGGGGCAGGGAAGGGGCCCCGTGTCTGGCGTGTTCCCGGGATGGCGGTGGTGCCGTGAGGCCACAGCCCTGACGGGGGACTCGGGGTCCTCTCCCAGTGGGGACGTGGGGAGCTTTCGATCGCGAAGACCTTGTGCAACCTGCGTTGCCGGCTCCTTCCTTAAGTGGCATTTTCATTCATCTCCTGGTTCTCTGCCATGTTCCAGACGGGAAAAATACCACAACACACCCGCCAGCCTCGGAGTCTAGTTAACGCATCGTGTAATGTATCAATCCCTGCCTGTGGGGCCAATCCAACCAATGTCACATATACAGAGCAAAACAGAATCCAAATTATAACCACGAAAGCGGTCCCCTTCCAGACCTTCTGCTAACGAGCAAGGCTGGGGCTGCCTGTGGCCTCTGATTTATGTTAACAATGACAGGGGACATGTACAGGATGCCTTCTGTATGCTGGGTGGTCTGCGAGTCTCCTTGCAGACATTATCTCTAATCTCGCGGGGAGGACACTGTGTAATCTCTACAAATGAGGAAGCTCAGAGAGGCAAAACAACTTCCCAGGGGGACGGAAGTCGGTGGAGGCAGGATCGGAACCCAGGTCTGCCAGACTTCAAACCTGTGTTCCTTCTCTAACACCACCTCCTTCATCTCAGTAGAATCCTTCTTTCGGGACCGCTGTATACAGCCAGCCAGCTCGCCCACGCAGTCGACCTGCTTTGGTGGTGGAGACGGCTGAAAATGATGCCAGACCAATAACTTAAGCTGTTTTTCTCCCATTCTGTAACTGACCGGCGCGCATTAGGAACGGAACCCTGATTCACCAAGCCCACAGCCCGGCAGGTTTGAGAACCTGTGGGCCTTCAATCAATCAAATCAGTCTGGCACAGCACGTGGTCCGTGACGACTAGTCACAGTTAACACCCAAACCTGCTCCGACGCCGGAATGCACTGGGATAGACTTCACATCTATTCCATTTATCAGAGGAAAATGCTGTGCCTTTTTTAAAGCATGTTTTTAAAAAAAGTAGTGAAGTGGAAAAAAAAAAAAAAAAAAACCCAGGAAGAATTGGTCTTGTGCAGACATCTCATGAGGGGCTTAAAATAATGAGGTTTCCAGGTGTATAAATGTAAGAAGAGCCACCTTGGGGGGAAGCTCAGGCTCTGGATTTCTTTGAATCCCACACAGAGGTCTACACAGCAGAGACCCCGAGGGGTGCTTCTGCTGAAGGGGGAGTAGGGGGAGCCCCCCCCCCAAATACCACGGTTATGGGAGGAGCAACAGCGAGCCACCAGCTCTGCAGACCCCAAGGGCTCTGGGCAAGGCATGTGTCAACCCTTCCGGACGGCCAGGCCCACCACGCCATGAAGAACCAGAGTCTATACAAACAACCCATAATGATAAGATGCACGATTGCAAGTTCAAGGACACAGCACCTCCGCCCCCCCTTCAGCGGCACTGGACAATGCCAGGCCATCCTGTCACCCCAATCCCAGTGGGTGGCCACCCCTTCCCTCTGTCCCCCAACACAGCCCCTCAGAGTTGACCCTCCATGTCTCCACTGCTGTTATGGAAAGGGCAGCCAGGACAGGACAGGAAAAGGGGCTCTTCTGGACACGCTGGTTAAGCTGTGAGAAGCTAGCCCAGGTGAGCCTCAACTTTTTGATCTCTACGACGTGAAGCAAAACCATCCTACATCGCAAGACAGGTGGCACGATGACGTGGGATGAAGAGCAAATACAAAGCACATAGAGCTACTGCTCTCTGGTCCCGTCACCTTTATTGTCATTTACCGATCTTCGTACGTCCCCGTCCCGGGGGAGCCCTCCTGAGATCAGTGTTTTCCCGCCTTTGTGCCATCAAGAATCTCTTCCCTGCCTGCCTCACCTACCCTGTATTCTGAAGGATGGTATCAGCCTAACTGCATTAAGTATTCATTGTTTCCCTACTGTATTCACCTAAGACACAAGTATGACGAACATTAAAAAAGTAACGTCGAAAAAGCAGATTCAATTGGACTTCATTAAAATTTAAAATTTTGTATGTCAAAGGACACTATCGGGGCCATAAAAAGTCAACACTCAGAATGAGGGGAAAAATTTTAAAATCCTATACCTGATCAAGACTTAGTATCCAGAATATGTAAAGAGTGCTTAAAACTCAACAACAGAAAACTAACCCAATCTGAAAAACAGGCAAAATAGGAGAGAGACAAATGACCAACACGGACATGAAAATGCTCAACATTATTAGCCATCAGGGTAATGCAAATCAAAACCACAATGAGATACCACCTTACGCCCAGTGACATGGGTACAGTGAAAAAGACAGACTGGTGTTGGCAAGGATGCATAAACTGGAACCCTCACATCCTGCCAGTGGGGATATAATGGTATAGCCATTATGGAAAACAGTTTGGTGGTTCCTTGAAAAGTTAAAACATAGAGTCACCATCTGACCCAGCAATTCCAAGCATTCAAATAGATCCGAGAAAATTATATTAGGAATGAGGAATATATCCAAGAAACCTAAAAATAGATGTTCACATAAAAACTTGTGCGCAAATGTCTGCAGTAATGTTATTCATAAAAATCAAAAGCAGAAACAACCCAAATGTCCATCACATTGAAAAACTGATGGACAAAATGTGATCTAGCCACACGATGGAATATCACGCAGCCGTGAAAAGGAATGAAGTCCGGATACTTCAAGGTGAAACAAGCTAACTGAAAGAAACCAGACGCAAAAGGCCACGTATTGTACGGTTCCATTTACATGAACTGACCAGAATAGGCAACTCCACAGAGACAGAAGGCGGCCGAGAGGCTGCCGGGGACTTGGGGAAAGGGAGAATGGAAGTGACTGTTTAATGGGTATGGGGTTTCTTCTTGGGGTGATAAAGATGTTCTGGAATTAGAAAGTGGTGAAGCTTGCACAACCTTATATATACAGCAAAAAACCACTGAGTTGTGCATTTCAAAAGGGCGAAATTTATGGTGTATGAATTTCATCTTGATAAATACATACATATATATATATGAAATAAGTGAATATAATTCCAGCTAAAGCAAGGAAATTTGACGTGCTGATTACAATGAGGTTTAGCTGGCAACACCCAAGGAAGGATGCTGGGACCCTAGGTCTACACCCTAAGTCTGTGGCCTGTGGTCTTCACCTGCAAAATGAGAGAACGCCACTACCTGGTCACGAAGACCAAATGGGGCAATGCAGGTAGAGGGATCCGAGGCTGTGCCCCGTGGTTAAGCATGATGCATGTCAATTATTCCCACCAGCCCCCTGGTGGGATGAAAGAGAAGCGACGTCCGTCCCTGCACGTGGGTCCCACGGCCCAGCACACGCGCCCCCGGCCTCGGCCCTCACCTCGGGGGTCAGTGCGTTGTTATCCGAGGTCTGGCTGGACAGTAGGATGTGCGTGAAGCCCTCTTCCTTCCGCACCACGATGTCGCGGAACCGGCAGTTGCTCTCGTTCTGGCGGACGCTGTACCTGAGCCTCTTGTCGAAGACGTAGTCCTTCTCCGCGTCCAGCTTCCGCTTCACGGGGCTGTGCAGGTTCAGGCCCCCGTTGGTCAGGGCGGAGCCTTGCAAGAGCAGGGAGACAAAGTGAGCGACTGGCAAGGGGCCACCGTCCCACACGAGCACGGTGGGAGAACGTGCAGGTCGCCACTGGGAAGGCTGACATGTGGCCGGTACACCCCACCCCCACCCCTAAACCCCCTGCCACCCTCTGCTCCGGGTTGCAGAGCCGGGGCTGAGTTCCCACATCTGCAAACCCAGCAGAGGGTCTAGAGGGTTCTCTGCGAAGGCCCCGTGCAGCCCCCTTCACCCCCACTCCCACGCAGCACCCAGCTTCTGCCCGACGGCTTAGCAGCAGGGAACCCACGGTCCACCAGGGGCAGCCCTCCCTGTCCGTGGCCGCCTACAACTCACAGGTAGCTACCAAGAGCAATACTAGCAGCTAGCCTTTATCGGACGCGTATTATGCGCTCAGCACCACCCTGAAACATGCCGGGGGCATCATCGCATTTAACATGAGAAACTGAGATGGGGCTCTGGGACCCCCGGTGCTTCTTTGGGGGCTGCCCGGAGACAAGGGAGGCGAGTACCAAGTGGGCAGGGTCCTCCTGTCTGTCCCCCGCCTCCCAAATCAATTACAACGGCTCTGCGTTTTTCTGTTTTACATGTTAGCATTCGCAAATGGCCAGAGAGCGCCCTGCTAAGAAGGTGTGAAAACCGGTGACAAAAGGATGCTGACTTAGGCCGGTTCCCTAGATCTCCGGCCTCCCAAAGAGACAGGTCAGGAGTTGTGTTCTAAAGAAAGCGTGCCCATGCTCAGACCCCAAATCTCCATCCGGAGCAGGCCTGGGGAGAGGCTCTAATGTATATTTTGAAAATATTTCCCAGCCAAAAATAAAAAGAGCGAGAGAGCGAGAGAGAGAAGATATAAATTACCAATCATCACTATTGATCTTAGGGACATTAAAAGGATAATAAAAAGATATGATGAACTGCTCTGTCCATTTATTTGGTAACTTAGATGAAATGGACCAATTCCCTGAAAGACACAAACTTCCAAAATATATACAAGGAGAAATACATCATCTGAATAGCCCTATATCTATTAAAGAAATCGAATCAATAATTATCTTCTAAAAAAAGAAAGCACCAAGCCTCAATGAATTATATCAAACATGTATGGAAGAAATAACAGAAATTCTCCACAATCTGTTCCAGAAAATAAGAATCAGAAGAACACCTCCTAATCCATTCTATGAGGCCAACATAACCCTAATACTGAAGTGAGATACGTTACAAGAAGACAAAAACTATAGACCAAGATCTTTCATGAACACAGATGCAAAAATCTTCAGCAAAATATTAGCAAATCAAAGCCGACAACGTATAAAGAGAATCATGTGCTACAAATAGGTATGCAAAGCTGGCTCAACATTTGAAAGAAAATCAATGTAATAATCTACCACATCAAGAGGCTGAAAAAAAGAAAAATCATATCATATCAATTGAGGCAGAAAAAGCATCTGACAAAATCCAATAGAAGGGGGCTTTCTCCACTTGATAAAGGACATTTACAGAATACCTATAGCTAACATAATACTTAACAGTGAGAAACTAGATGCTCTCGTCTTAAGATGTGAAATAAGAAAAGGATGCTCTCTCTCCCATTCAATATCACGTTGGAAGTCCTAGCTAGTGCAGAAAGAAAAAAAAAAAAGAAGAAATCAAAGGTTACAGAGATTGAGAAGGAAGAAATAAAATGATTTTCATCCACAGATGACAAGGCTATCTACATAGAAAGTACCAAAGAATTGAAACAAAAAGAAAACCAGCCATTCCTGGAACTAATAAGCAAATATAGCAAGGTCACAGCATACAAGGTTAATAGACAAAAGTCAGTTACTTTCTCACAATCCAGCAACGAACAATTGGAATTTGACATTTAAAAATAAAATACTAAGTTCTAGTATTCGATAATACAGTAGGAACATTGCAGTTCACAATAGTTTATTGTATATTTTGAAATAGCTAGAAGAGAAAAATCAGAATGTTCCCCACAAAGAAAAGATAAACATTTGGGGTGATAGATACCCCAATTATACTGATTTGATCATCCATCGTGTATAGGTATCAAAATATCACCATCTATCGCCAAAATATGTACAACTATTATGTATCAATTTAAAAACTTTATTTATGACAGCACCTAAAATATGAAATACTTAGGTATAAATCTAACAAAATATGTTAAAGATCTACATGTAGAAAACTACACACCTCTGATGAAAAAAAAAAACAAACAAAATCCAAATCAATGGAGAGACATCCTGTGTTCATGAACTGGAAGATTTAATATTTTTAAGATGTCAATTCTTCCCAACTGATCTAGAGATTCAATGTAACTTCAATCAAAATGCCATCAAACTACTTTGTAGATACTGAAAAACTTACTCTACACGTTATTCAGGAAGGCACAGACCTAGAATAGCCAAAACAATACTGAAGAGTAAGAACAGAGTTGGAAGACTCACACTACCCAATTCCAAGACTCAACACAAAGCTATGGCAATCAGGATGGTGTGGTACTGGCAAAAGAATAGACACGTAGATCAATGGAACAGAACCGAGACCCTGAAAATAGACACACACCAATACAGTGAAGCGATTTTGGGCAAAGAAGACAATTCCATGAAGAAAGGACAGTCGCTTTCAACAGATGGTACTGGAACAAATGGATATCCACTTGCAAAAGAAAAAAATGAACCTACACACATATCTTAACACCTTTCGCAAAAATTCGCTCAATGTGGATCACAGACCTAAATGTAAAATGCAGAGCTACAAGGCTCCCAGAAGACAACAATACAGTTCACGTAAGCGCTGTACCCCTGTTGACAAAGGAGATTCCCGTGGAGGCAGAGGCTAACCACGCTGACCCCGCTGTACCTGTGCACTGGGTTGAATCATTAAGAAAATGGATGGCAAATGGTAGGAGCCAGGTGTTCACCGTGGGAGTTTACAGACGAGCAAAGGGAGTAGGCCAGAAAGATCCACGTGCTCACGGGAGTTGCAGACAACAGTTTGACCTCGTGTTTAGCTTAATGCAGACACAGATGGTTACGTACAGAAACATCTACATGTAAGTCATGTAAGTGTGTTTGCACATGTGTGATTCTTTACTCTGCCAGCTGAGAAGGCCCAGAGACTATGACATCTCAACAGCAAAGAGCACACCTAGCGCCCTGGTCTTGCTCTCTAGCTCCTTTCTCCATAAGAGGAACCAGGGCACCCTGGAGAAATGGCTAGCTTGAGGACTGGGCTGGAAACGTACGAGGTAAGCTTGCAGAGCCAGAACAGAAAGAACTGCTCAAACAGAACAAAACAGCCACCGTAATGATGGAGGTCTGTCAACAGGGACACAGGAGCCAAGGGAAAGAGCTCCCAATGGCCAAAGAGATGAACAAGTTGAACAACGAAACATAGTTACTACTGGGTTAACATGAAAATACAAAATAACCGTGCATCAGTCCATTCTGATATAAATAAGTGATTGCATAAATAAATAAATGCAGGAGAAGAGACAAATCTCCCACGCAGAAGAATTCCAAGTAACTTATGTAAATAGTCCAGTCTCAAGGCCATGGGGTGTGGCTCCCCATTCCGTGCGTGTGGGCCACACAGGGTGACTCACCTCCAAGAGTACAGCGTGGGGAGGAGGACAGCAGAGTACCTGTGCTGTGGGGAAACCTGACACGCACACCTCAGCCAGGTGATCCGGTCAACACCAGCAGGGACGGGTCACGTTCCCCGTCTGTGTCCCTGACGGGGGGTGGGAGAGGGGTCATGAGAATGGCGCTTTACCTCTGGGGGTCTTCTTCCCCAAAACTCGCAACCCCACTCTAATCACGAGGAAAACATCAAAATAAACCCCACCTGAGGGACAGTCTGCAAAATACACGAGCAGCCCTCCCCAAAGCTCTCAGCGTCACCGAGAAACTGCCACAGCCCAGGGGAGCCTAAGGACACACGACGATTACAGGTAACGTGGGGTCACGGATGGGGTTCTGGAACAGCTATTAGGTTAAAAACGGAGGAAACCTGAATGAAGCACGGACTATATAGTTCATAATAACTGCCTATTGATATTGGCTCTTTGGTCTTCCCAAAGGTTGTCACCCTAATGAAAGGTAACAGGAGAAGCTGGGTGTGGGGCATGTAGAAACTCTTCGTGTTAGCGTCCCAATTTTTCTGTGAATCTAAAACTGTTCAAAAGGTGAAGTTCAATCTTACTGGAGTTAGGTGATAATCTCATTGTGGTTTTGATTTGCATTTCCCTAATGATTAGAGATGTTGAACATTTTATATATATATGTTTGCTGGCCATTATTCTGTCTTCTTTTGAAAAGTTTCTGTTCGCGTCCTTTGCCCATTTATGGATGGGGTTGTTTGACTTTTTTTCTTGTTGATTTTTTTCAAACTGGCACTGACCGATCAGCACTAAGGTGCTCATACAATAGTAATATTCTTTGGGGGAAGGGGGCTTGGGGGTGGGTAAACTCACAACTAACGGATGCGGTGAACGTTGGGGGGGGGGAGAAGGGCACGTCTCAAATCATGGTTGGGAGGTGGCAAAGTCATAACATGCCATAACATGTCATAACATGTCACCAAAATGTTCGTACCCCCATAATTTCCTGAAATATATATAAAAAAGAAGTGAAGTTCATTTTAAAGAAGATATTTTAGCAATTCAGTTCGGTAAAGACAACAACAACATCATGCCCGTTCTGACACCCAGAGTGCGACAGGATCGCTGCGGGACAGTCACAAATCAGCCTGCTGCTGCTGCTGCTGCTGATCCCGGGACCAGGCCTTGAGAACCAGGGTCCAGACAGCTCGGGGACCCCCTCTGTGCCCAGGCGCCACTCTGGGGGTGATGCAGGAGCAGTGTCCCCCCGTCTCCCCGCCAAGCATAGGGCTGCCCTGCACGCTGACGTGAGAAGGCCGGTGGACTGTCACATCTGCCGGGCCAGGGTGAGCAGCTGTCCCATGCAGGATGCAGCCG